GCAGTGGTCAGGACTTGGTCCCAGGTGACAACTCGCCACTTGATGTGAGCCACGGCCAAGAATCCAACTCTGAACAGCAGGTTCATAGCGCAGTGCGTCAACCACAACGATACCAAACGTCTGAACACACTCGAGGACTCGAGAGTCACGGTTCGAGTCCCAGCTCCCGGTTGAGTTATCTATGCCCCCCCCTACTCTGCCGCACAGGGAGACGATGAAGACGTCCGCAGGGATGAGGGGGCCCCGGGTCCCCTCGCCGGCCCCCGGGCGTGGAGCGAACCCCGCGTCCGACCCCCGCGCCATGCGGCGCATCATCGCCGAGGACCCCGAATGGAACCTCGCCACGGTGCCGCGCCTCGCCGACCTCAGCCTCGCCGGCATCGTCAGCAACTTCGAGCGTGCGTGGTGTGGTGGTGGTGGGGTTGTTGCGCCGCTTCGTTGGTCGTGATTTCAGTTGCATGTATGAGGTATAACCCTGTGAGCCATGCGCGGCTCTTGACTCGGGTGCAACCGCAACAAAACATGAACAAGAAGCATCTTAAAGTGACTACACGTAACAGAAGATGATGATGGTGGTGGTGGTCATGGAAGTGGAGGTAGTGGCAGCGGTGGTTATGGAAGTGGTTTAAGCGGTAATAGTGGTATATGTAGTGATAGAGATCATTGAGGTTGCAGAGATGGTGGTAATGGTTATGGTGGCAGTGCAGGTTGTCGTGTTGGTGGTAGTGATAGCTAACATCACTTGCTCCAACGGTCTCAGGCTACACGGGGCTGACGGGGGTATTTGTTTTTGGTAGCAATGGTGGTTGTGGAGGGAGCTGATAGTGATGGACCTTGTGGAAAGAGGTGTTACCGTGTCTTTGTTAATGGTGGCGTTCGTGGTGATGGTGGTCGAGGTAGTAGTGTGGGGAGGTAGTCGTATTTAGCGTGCTGCCCTACGAACCCGGCCACCCGAGTTCGATTCCTGTTCACAGCCACCAATAGTGACAATTATCTGAACTGGTCTTGGGCCTCCCCTTGGTCGACTCAGCCTGAAATGAGTACCTGCTGTGATGTGTAAACATCGCCGTGAGGGAGACAAAGGCGGCCGGGCCTGGCGCTGGCCACCCACCCCCTCGTGTGCTGTGCCGGCATTAATCGGTGCTTGCTAACAGCCCAAACAATCTGTTCCATCTACAAGGTGGAGCTTTGTGTTTCTACCCAATGCTTAATTTTTCATTAGGAGACGGCATGTCACTCGTCACCACAACCATAGCGATCGGTACACTGAAAGTGGTGTGCCGGGTGTGGGAATATTCACATTTGTAACGCGAATTTCATCCATAGATCCTAATGCACCGTGTATGGAAATCAGGAAAGAAACAGAACCAGGGTAAACGGCTAGAGCTCCGAGGTAAAGGCCAATTTAAAGAGGTGAGTTTTCAAGACAGACTTAAATAGTTCTAACGACTGTCCCATTGGCAAAGGGAAAGGATTCCATCATCTGAAAGCTGCACCCCAGGAACTGAGCCTTGACGGTGGAGTACTTAGAAGGTGATCCGAAGGGAGCCTTGTTGGAGTATAAACGTGGATCAGTTCCTGCAAATATTGTGAGGCTTGCAGGTTATAGCCCATCCAGTACTGAACTGGTAGCCAGCCAGTGCAAAGGACAAGAGAGCGGGTTTGCCATGTGCTCACAAAACGGTGTGCGCATATGCGCTCCAGCAGCTGCATTCTGAACAAGCTGGAGTCTTACCCAGTACCTGACTCTGAATCCCAAACAGTAATGCGTTGCAGTAATCAAGTCAAGGGAAACGTAACATCTTGGACCCGTCTCTCAAAGTCATGAGGTGGCAGGAATCAAAGGACAGGGACTGGTCAAACTGAGCACCCAAGATTTCTGACCGAAAATGGGCAGACATCGTGACCATGCCGTGACAAATGTTGCAAACCAAATTATATAACTGCACAGGGGGAGCCAATGACTATGGCCTCATTTTTGTCGGCATTTGGTCAAATATGTTGCTGCAACCAAGTTGTGACGAATTGTAATGCCGCAGACAGTACATAAACTGCCATCGCAGAGTCAGAGCCGTGCTGGACGTAAATGTGCACGTCAGCAGCATACCAGTGTTAAGATAAGCCCAAATGTTGTAGCAGAATGCCCAAAGGAGCCATGTGGGGCATTGAAACATTAGGGACCAAGTACAGATCCTTGTGGGACACCGTAATGAACCGGTCCGATTGGAGATTTAAAGTAATCCATTATGACATAGTGCATGCATTTCTCTAAGAGCAAAACCACTGCACGGTAGCACCAGAAATCCCATCTGGTGTTATAATCGCTCGAGGACCTCATGGTCAATGGTATAAAACGTGGCACGGAGGTCAATGGTTGCACATTTTGTGAACACGTGTCGATTCCTGAGTCTCTAAGGTGTCCCACATTCAGGAGACTCCCTCTCATGCTCAACAGCTATTTATAACTCGGTGATCTGCATTGCTGCTTTTGAAATCAGAGGGCAATGCAGCAAAATACACGTGTTCTGTACTTTCGATGCTCCCATGTTTGACCTTCGTCTTCACTAACATGCACTGACAAGCTTGGCCCAATAAGCCCAATTACCTGTACAGCATGGGTAGGCCTTGATCTAGCAGTGCCATGGCTGAAAAATACTGTGATTACTAAGAACCTATTGAGAAGAGACGTGGATTTTTTTAATGGTGACCCGGGTGCAGATCAATACACCACACCACTTTTCCTGCTTACTCGATCATTCATTCTCCCATTCTTAATCTCCGACTACCCCTCTCCAATATCTTTTCACTCATTACCTCTCCCACGATCCTGGTGGTCTCCCTATCACCCATAGACCACCCTGTACTGGATGCGCTGCTGCCCAAGCATCGTACCGCTGTGCTGGCGCGGATCTCCACGCAGCTGCCCCTCTCCCTCGTGGCCGCCCTCGTCAGCGACGAGGGCTACTGGCGCCGCCGCTGCCAGGCCAGCAGGATCGTGGGCGACGTCCTGAGCCACGGTAACAGCTGGAAGCGCATGTTCCTAGAGCGGCACCTGCAGGCCGTCATTGAGCTCTACGTCCCAGACACGACAGATCCCAGCGTCGTACAGGAGGCTGTGGCGGCCTGCGGCCCCTTCGTGCGCTGCCTCGACGTGGGTCAGCTCCTCCCACCCATCAGGGAACTGGCGCCGGGGGCCGATGACTCGTCCGACGCAGGCAGCGACGACGGTGCCGAGGGTCCAAGCGTCGACCACTTCGACTTCGGCTCCATCGTGGGGCAGCTGCCACACCTCGAGGAGCTGCACGTCACCTACGGCGTGAGGAACTGCGGCATGAACTTCGAGTGGAGCCTGTTCGAGTTCACGGGGCGCGACTGCGAGTCCCTGGCGCGCGCCGTCAAAGGCTGCCGCACGCTGCGGGTGCTGAGGCTGCATCGCAGCCGCGCGGGCGACGAGGCGGTGCGCGCGCTCGTACGGCAGCTGCTCGACCACCCCTCGCTGCTGGTGCTCGACCTATCACACAACCTCGTTGGGGACCGCGGCGCCAGGGCGCTGGGCAAGCTGCTCAACCGCAGCCGGCTGACGGCGCTCAACCTGTGCGACAACAGGGTCGGCGGGCACGGTGGGCAAGCGCTGGCGCACGCCATTTCCCGGAACGCGACGCTGCGAGTGCTCAACCTCCGCCTCAACCGCCTCGGAGACGAGGCTGGGCAGGCGTTGGGCCGTGCGCTGCAGTGCAATTCCTCGGTCGTGGAGCTGTACCTGGGGGGAAATGAGATGTCGGAGCCCACGGCAACGGCGCTCGCTCACGCCGTAGCACTAAACACGAGCCTGCTCACCATCGACCTCTCCTGCAATCGCTTGGGGAATGTGAGTCCCGATACTCATTGCTCATGACTCTACTACTCACGCTGGGTGTCCAATTAATTTTCTTTTTTTCGGTGAAGTTGAAGTGCCATCGGTCAAAAAAACTTTGGAAAAATCAATCGAACACAAATGTATTTCCTTCCACAGAAACTTATTATTCTCACAATAAAGGATAAACGTGTGTTTGTCCTTTATATTCTGAGATCAATTATTTTAGAACAATGAATTTTAAGTCGAAATTATCTACGGGCATCAACTTCCATCCAATGATGTACTCATAAACAAGACACGAGTGTAAAACAGAGTGCATGTCACAGTACATGATGCCAGTAGTGACTGTAAAAGAGAAACAATTCAGTTTTGAGAAACGTAAAAAAGTGACAACTTATAAAAAGTTAACGTTGGTTCCGACTTATTCCTGGACACCCATTGTGTGGATTTCCACCTAATTCCTTGAGACGCAAATTCTTAATTGGCAACCGCACGCATGGCCCCTGGTGATGATCGCTCTCTTGCCACAGGATGGAGGAAAGCAACTGCAGGAGGGGATGAGCCACAACCGCACGCTGACTGAGCTCGACCTGCGGCTGGCGGAGGCCGGGCATGACAGCGAGTACCACATCAGCAAGATTCTCAAGCAGAACCGAGAGCACGCGCACCGCCGTGGCACGACGGAGCGCACTGGCGCCTAAGCACGCTGGCGCCTAAGCACGCTGGCGCCTAAGCTCGCGAGCAAGCACCAGGACCACCACTGGCACCACCGCCTCACGGTCACACCGATAGTGAGACGTCTTAGTCGCGCTAATTGCTTAGCCAGATTTTCGTAGTTCAGTCTCTGGCAGTCGACTCTGGAAGTGGGTACATTTTAGCTTCATGTCGTTTCGAATTTCCATAATAAATTACACCTGCTTCTCAATTAATTGCTGGACGATGGCCGCCCCAAGCTGTGTCTGTCATCGAGGTTGATTTACCATACTTCCCCATAGTAGTGAGTGCGGGTAGGTGAGGGGAACCAGAAAAGGTGCAGATATCGCTCGCCTCTGATGTGATCCGTGGCTGGGAATGGAATTGATTCCCCAGGCTTGTAGCGCAGAAGTGAGCGAACCACGTGTACATTTCCACAACGACGCTGTGATATATACGATACATTTATTCATAAATACTGGATCAGAGTAAACAAAACCCCATTCTGCATTTATCACCTTATATCTACGTCACCTACACATTTTACGACCACTCGCATTCAGCCCGAGTATGTGCAACCAGTACACAATCATGCCATGCTTGGAGAAGTCCAGGTTTCACCATCTCGTACATCCAGCGGTGCCAATTTACCACCAGCAAGTTTGCTGCCATGCACTTACAAATGCTAGATGCGGTACCATCGTGGGCAAACCGAGTTGCGCATAGCCATATCGCCGGCCTTCCTAAAGCGATCCACCACCTGCATTGCTGAATAAATGCATGCCTAGCTGTTAACGGAGCAGTAACGTACAGGCCTCCAACGCCTCGCCAGAAACACGCACATGCAGACATTAATTACCACGCACCAACGCAGATAATCACCTCGAGAATAAAACATTAACTACGGCAAGTAACAATTCACCTTCCCGCTCGCCGAAGTTAAGAGCAATTGGCAACATTTGGTGGTCATAATTTGATTCAAGAATTTAGAATGTTTTCGTCCTGTTTGTACTCTTATTTTTACTCTCTCGTTTGTTCAGTCTCATTTGTTCCAACCAATTATGCAATAAAATGTTTTGCTTCATATTGCGTCGAAATGCAACCACACCTTAAGACGCCAATACAGTAACAGTGGGCCTATTTCAGAGAGAGAAAGATGCGGTCAGTTACAGGCTGAGTAATAAAAGTAAGGTCTTAAGTGGACCTGAGCGGGGTGTCCAAAGGTAACATTTGCATATAATTTAGTCGTCTTGTGACCATGAGGATCAGTTTTAATCAACATTGGTGAATCGTTACATGTCTAATAAACACTGTGCAACAGATTGGATGTGTAAAAAAAAGGCAATTTAAAGAAAGCTATTCAACGTGAGGCGGCCCCACTATTCGTAAGAATCTGCTCACCTCATGCTTGTCAAACTGAAGCTGTCATGCCACCGCCTATGATGTCTGTTGGAGTGTGTGGTGTAGTTGTATTCCTGCCATTGCACTCTAGCCTCCAATTAAAATCAAAATAAATAGCTCAATGTACAGATTTATAGAAATAAGGCACGGGACCCACCCCAACAGGTACAGCAGTGGTCACGGTGAAATTGTGATACGCGGGGCGTGAGGGGGTTCTCACACCATGGCCACGCACGTCGGCTCGGGCCCCCCGTTATCCGCACAGAGGGAGGCCTGGTCGCCCACGGATGGGGAAGGCTGCTGCGTCTCGGTGTGCTGGCTCCGCTCCTCGAGGCGCCGCTGGGCCTCCTCAGAGAGGCGGTCCTCCATCTCCTCCTCCTCCTCCTGGGGGGCAGTCATCATCATGAGTGGTGATTAATCCACTACTGGGTGAAGGCCTCCCCCAAGCCATTGCCATCACTCCCAGTCCTGCACTGCACCAATCCATCTAGCTCCTGTACACGAGCTCATTCATGGTTCCATTTATTGGGCATGCTCCCAGCGGCCAACATCCATTCTAACAACGTGTCCTGCCAAAACCAACTTCTCAGCAGATGTATAAAATATGGCAAGCTTTTTCTCCTCCATGTTGAGCCACACAGTCCTCTACAGATCATCCGTGAAGCTGTGTTGTGTGTTGGGTGTATGTGCATGTGCACGTGAAGGCACCTCCTCCTTGCTCCTGTGGTATTCATCGATGGCGTACTGATACTTTGCAGTGGTGATCCCGAAGAGGTCAGCGAGTTTCTCACCGACAAAGTCGCACACTGCAGACGGTTACAAGATTTTCATATTGTTATTTAGAAGTTGGCTATCACTGCAAGTGACATTATGCATACATTTATTCCATTGTAACTCAACAAACTAAAAGGTATAATGTTGTGAATGTAAACTTGGGCTGTACGATCTTTGAGAATGAGAAAAATATATTTCAATGTTATGGACAAGTAGAATCCTATAATATATACACAATGAGGTTACAATTATGTCAGTGGAGTACTATGATGGTGTTGTTGACTGTACATTTTATTTTGTATTTTTCTCTCAATGTGTAAATACAGCCTGGGATAGACTCAGTATCGACAAAAGCTGTTCATATTTAATTTTGATTAAATCCCTTAGAATGTGCCTGGTCTACGAGGTAAAGCAGGGAAGGGTGGGCAATCACCATGCAAAAAAGGCATTATAAGCTGATGGGCAACAGTGGGCAGCATAGTTTAGGGCTGTGTCATCATCATCAAACTCCATGGGCAGAAAGCCCATAGGTGTCCACTGCAACGTTGTCACTTGTTTCCACTTCCCTCTATCCTGTGCCAACATGCTGAGGCTATGCCAGATCTCTCTGGCACCAATCTCTGATGTCATCCAGCCATTCCCTACAAGGTCTTCCTCTTCTTCCAGTTTCCTCCATCATTCCCATTATTGAAGTTTTATTTTCCTGTCGTACTCCATCCTGCATATGTGCCCAAACAAGCTCAGTATCCTTCTCATTACCACTTGCATCAAGTTTTCTGTTATACTCAACCTTTTTCCTACTTCGACGTTCGTCACTCTTTGTGTCCAACTAAAATGTAGTATCCTCCTGAATGCCCCGTAGTACATTTCAAATGGCAGTATTTTTTTTAGTGTCCAAGTTTCGCAGGCATACAAAGCTGTGCTTAAAACGCATGTTTTTAAGATGATCAGCTTGGTTTTGTAGCTAATTTGCTTGCTTATGTATATGTTGTTAAATTCTGCCATTACTAATTTTGCTGTGTAGCAAAATACATTGTTGAACTGTACATCTATGCTCCCACATGTGTATGAGTTTTCCCGAGGTATTTTGTATTCTCTTCACATACAAAATACGCATTAATATAGCTGGCTAAACATCCTAGTATAAGACCCTCTAAGAAACAGCTTTAAGTTCGATAATAGGGTTTTCCCATTTTTTCTGGCAACAAAACAGGTGCTAAGATGTTAAAACACCAAACTGAAACCTTTTACAAGGAATCATGTCTACATTAACTGCAACGCTTGTGGTCAGAATGCAAACAAAAAACATACTATATTCTTGGTTCTTTCGGTAAAGTGACGTAGAAGGGAAATAATACATTAATAAAAATAAAATACATTTATCGCAACGTTTCGACTGCAACACAAGCAATCATCATCAGGTGTGAAAACCACAACAAGAAAATTTTAAAAAAGTTGCGGTTTGATTGCTTGTGTTGCAATCGAAACGTCGTGAGAATTTTAATGTTTTATTTATTATTATTTTATTATATCCCTTCTACCTGACTTTACCGAAAGAACCAAGAATATGAATCCCTGCAGTCTCGAAAGCTTTAAATCGACAAAAAAACATACAATATATTATATATTTCTCCTGCCTCAGTAGTTCGCCTGCTGTATTTTTTCACCTGAAGACGATTGCTTGTGTTGCGATCGAAAAGTCGTGATTTTTTATTATTTTTCTATCTACGTGACTTTACCGAAAGACCCTAAGAGTATGAATTCCTGCAGTCACGAAAGTTTAAAGTCATGATGAAGAAGCTTTAGGTTCCTTTTATGGAAACAAAAAGGGCATCATATTTGTTTTGGGTTGTGTCTTACAATAAGAGGAGCCTTACCAGCGAGTGTTCCTGTTCCAGTTTTGAAAAGATAAAACCAGAGGTAGGGGCCCCAGGTCAACTTTGCCTTCAGCAGCACCATGGAAGAGAGTGCAGAAACAGACACATCCATCAAGCTCCCCTTGCACAATAACACCCAATGATGTACAGTGAGGGAAAAAAGTATTTGATCCCCTGCTGATTTTGTACGTTTGCCCACTGACAAAGAAATGATCTACGTGACTTTACCGAAAGAACCAAAGAAGATGAATTGGTAACACACTATGCCGTGAAGGACTGAAATCCTGCAGCGCCCGCAAGGTCCCCCTGCTCAAGAAAGCACATATACATGCCCGTCTGAAGTTTGCCAATGAACATCTGAATGATTCAGAGGATAACTGGGTGAAAGTGTTGTGGTCAGATGAGACCAAAATGGAGCTCTGTGGCATCAACTCAACTCGCCGTGTTTGTAGGTGGAGGAATGCTGCCTATGACCCCAAGAACACCATCCCCACCATCAAACATGGAGGTGGAAACATGCTTTGGGGGTGTTTTTCTGCTAAGGGGACTGGACAACTTCACCGCATCAAAGGGACGATGGATGGAGCCATGTACCGTCAAACATTGCGTGAGAACCTCCTTCCCTCAGCCAGGGCATTGAAAATGGGTCGTGGATGGGTATTCCAGCATGACAATGACCCAAAACACACGGCCAAGGCAACAAAGGAGTGGCTCAAGAAGAAGCACATTAAGGTCCTGGAGTGGCCTAGCCAGTCTCCAGACCTTAATCCCATAGAAAATCTGTGGAGGGAGCTGAAGGTTCGAGTTGCCAAACGTCAGCCTCGAAACTTTATGACTTGGAGAAGATCTGCAAAGAGGAGTGGGACAAAATCCCTCCTGAGATGTGTGCAAACCTGGTGGCCAACTACAAAAAAACGTCTGACCTCTGTGATTGCCAACAAGGGTTTTGCCACCAAGTACTAAGTGATGTTTTGCAGAGGGGTCAAGTACTTATTTCCCTCATTAAAATGCAAAATAATTTATAACATTTTTGACATGCGTTTTTCTGGATTTTTTTGTTATTCTGTCTCTCACTGTTCAAATAAACCTACCATTAAAATTATAGACTGATCATTTCTTTGTCAGTGAGCAAACGTACAAAATCAGCAGGGGATCAAATACGTTTTTCCCTCACTGTATGAGTATTGGCAGGCAGTGTCAATCAGGCGATTGGTCCACCACATATCACTCATCAGTCACCACCTGTCATCCAGTTAGTGCAATCATTACTCTACAGTCTACACCAATTATCAATACCTTATAAGTGTCCTGAATGCCCCGTAGTGCAAAATACCACCGCTATTAAAATGCAGAAGGGAATAGCCATAATCCTTTTAATAACCCAACCCTATTTTGTCCCCCCCTTACCCCTATTCGTGTTATTCCATACCTATTACGTTGCCCCTTGAATCCCCAAACCAATTGTTGCTCAAAGCAGGCGGTGGTTTTCCCTGCTGCTGTGGCTTACGGGATCGGTGGGGGGCGCGAGCTGTTTGGAGATCTCCTCCTCCTCCTCCTCGTCCGTGCTGTACTCCTCCATCGTCTCTCCGCTCGCAAAGTGGATGATGCGCCGTGGCACACGCTCACGCTTTTTCTTCTCGTCGCTGACACCAGACTCGCCCAGGTCCACGGCCTCCATGTGCAGTTTTGGCTGTGCCAACGGAAGTCCACAATAAATCAATCTTTATTTGGTATTGCACGTACTTTACAAATACAGCAAAGGTGTACTAAATAAGCGATAAAAACAGACAATAATTTACAATGAATTAATAATGAAAACATTCAATCCAGACATCAATGAAATACAATACAGGGCAAAACAAAACAGGCGTTTCAACCACAACACAGCTGAACATACCACTGCCTTCTCCTTCACACCAACAGTCATAACACACGAGAATCGGTAATGACAGTGAATTAAAATAAGCACACCACAACGAACACACAATCATCTCCATCATCCACACCACAATTAACACACCATCGCAGTGCCAGGTGGTAATGGCGCACGCCTGTAATCCAGCACTGTGGAGGGGTTGGTGGATCACACAAACGCTGTTCAACTCCCTTCCCGTGGGTGCCGAGGTGTCATAGACCCTGGCTTGACAGAAGGCGGTACAGGAAATGTGGACTCCACCTGTTCCATCTGTACGGAATAGAGCGTTGCCCCCTCGCATCCACGGGTTTTTCTTCTGGGGGTGCTCCAGTTACCTTCTACATGAACAATCACTCGTTAACTGGCCGATAACACTTTAATAGAGAACCGCAGAACTTGGAGAATTGTTGGGGCTGGATTCAACACGTGGCTCCCTTCCCGATTTGTGGTTCCTCGCGTCGCCTCGTCGTTCTCGCTTCGAGAGCGAATACTGTGCAGCGCGTTACAAATTGACATTATTGAATTACTAAAGTGAACAGACAAGCAACCACAGCGAACGCGTCATCACTCGCACTACACTGCATTCAGCATCACGTCAAAGTAAATACAAATCACCGACATTACCACTATCACGGTTAACACACCATCAGCATCATCCACGCCAGTGAAACGGGATCATCACCACCACCATCACCACTGTCACAACCACCACCACCACCGGTCAACCCCACCGCTATTGCCACAACCACAACTTCCCGAAAGCCGCGGTGACCACACCCGGATAACGCCGAAGCGCGCCGCTCGCCTGCTCCCCACGCCGAGGTTGCGCTCCTCCCCCGGGCAGAGCCTCTAGGCCAAGAGCGGTCCCCCCCCCCCGACTCGTCCCACAATCTCCCCGGGTGATTCATGTCCCTCTCGCGGCCTCGCTATTACCTGGCTCTGCGTGAGCCCCGGGGCCGTCATCTCCACCGCTAACGCCGCCATGGGCGCGAAACAGAGAAGGTGGTGGGGGTGCGTCGCGGAAGACAAAGGCCGAAAGGAACGGCGAGCTGAGACTACCCCACAGCCTGGCGGAGGAGGTTCGAGTGGTCACGTGCGTGGTCACGTGAGGGTGGGCGAGGTGGAGCGGTGGCGCAACGGTCAGGGCGCTGCGCTACGAACGCGGCGACCCCAGTTCGATTCCCGCTCACGGCCACCAACACCGGTGATTATAATTATTTAAGTTTGACACGTGTAGGCTTTCGCGACCACCATCATTCATCATATAGGTTATTCTTTTAGGGGGTTAGATCGCGTAAATATATAAATGTGTCGTTAGTAAGGTTGTCACGTAAACGGAACATGCCAATTCGTAACTAATAGAGCACACATTGGTGTGTGGGAGAGCAAATCCACAACATTATTTGAACCGGTCCCGATCTACCCTGGGTCGACTCAGCCTCAAATTAGTACCTCGGTGCGGTGTGTGAGCATCGCCACTGTGGGAGACAAAGGCGGTAGGGCGTGGTGCTGGCCACCCACCCCATCGTGTGCCGTGCCGGCCTTCATAGGTGCTGCTCGCTAACAGCACTTGCCCCAACAGTCTGTTACAGGCTACGGTGGGGGTGGTCTTTGTACACGAGCTCTCCCATGCGACCTGCACTTGTGCCAGGCTAGGTGCACACTTGAGGCCATGGGTTGTTACCGAGCTGACTGGCTGATGCACCGACTGTGCCAATTTTCCGTGTTTTATAGGCCCGGCGGCACTCCGCTCGTTGTTGTGAGCGTCGCTCATCCGTTCGGTGGGCAACTGCCTCCAACTTTCCCAGCAGCGTCCTTCACGAACCTCCTTAGCCACGGTCACCGATCTTGACACCGCTGGTACCGGTCATCGGCAAGTCCACTCAGCTACCACACCATCACAGCAACAACAACCGCCACTCGCCACTAAGTGGCGGTGACGTCACCACGACGCTTGTGCCAGGCTATGAGCACTTCGAAGCTACGTGCCAACTTGATGTGTTTTAACTCATTTGCCGTCACACCTTGAGGGCCACGTGAAGTATCGAACGCCCGCTGGCAGGTGGTCACGGGACAGACCCAGGTGCCACGGGTCGGCTGAGATGACCGAGATGACTGGCTGATGCACCACCTGTGCCCCCTACTGTGCCAACTTGCTGTGCTTTAGCCACCCGGCGCTCCGCTCGTTGTTGTGAGCGTCGCTCCTCCGCCCTCCGTTGTTGTTGGAGGGCGACTGCCTCCAACTGCCCAGGAGCGTCCTTCACGAGCCTCCTCCACAGAGGCCGATCTTGACACCGCTGGTACCAGTCATCGGCAAGTCCACTCAGCTCCACATCCTCCTGTACCATATCACTCCATCTCTTCTCTAGCCCGTGCCGCGCCCGTTTAGCCCCCTCGATCCGGCCGAACAAAATCTGTATAGTCATGCGGTGGCTGGGTATGCGGGCTACATGACCCAGCCAACGCAGCCTTGCCTGCCGGAGGAGCTCACCGATGGGACTTTTCCCAGATCTTTCAAGGATTTGTGAGCTCCTCACACAATCCAGCCTGGTTAAACCCAGGTTGGATCGTAGGCAGGCCAGCCTAAACGTTTCTAACCGGCGAAGATGTTCCATTAGGGGGGTTCACATTTCGCAAGCGTAGAGAAGGGAAGGAATGACCGTGGCCGAGAAGACCTGAAGCTTCGTGCGTAGTGATAGACCAGGTAGCTTCCACACAGCGTTACGCAACAGATGAAAAGATGCCGCTCAACTGATTCGGAGTGAGACCTCTGCTGTTAAACGGGAGCCGGTTATGAGCACACTGCCAAGGTATGGGAAACTCTGCACTCTCTCCACAACTGCCCTATCACCAATTGAGAGTTGTGGGGGTGGAGTGTCCAATGGTACAAAATACCCAGGCAGGTGCTTAGTTTTGGTGGGGCTGATGGTAAGGCCCCACCTCTTGGTGGCAAGCTCCTGGTTCAGCAGCAGCGCCTCCAACTCCTCGTTTGAGTGAGCAGTAATTACCAGATCATCAGCATACATAACGTGGTTGAGCAATAGGGAGCCATCCCTTGACCGCACACGGGCATCGATCAGCCTCCGATTGTATCTGTACCATCAATACACAGGGACACATAGAATGGCTTACGTTTATTTTAAATCAATACGACATCAAGTTAGTCTTGCTTACCTGCGTGTCATGTGCAGCCCTTTTGTAAATCTACTGCTGGAGGCCTCTATGAGCATACTTTACGCATTGTCAGCATGGGTGCAAGGTGGGGAGCGGAGAAGTACAGTCCAGTATTGTACAACGTGGATGAGTTGCTACAGCATCTTTAGGACTTCAATCAACTTAAACTTAATGCCGTCAAACTGGTCCTCAACGCTGAAAAAATACCCAAGCCATGTTGGTCTCTAGCTGCTCCGCACCCGTCTTGTCACTTATGCACATTGTGGCTCTTGACAACTTCATATATCCTGGCATTATCCTGGACTTTAATTTGCCTTTCAAGACCCACATTGACCTCATGGCCAAGAATAAAAAAATAAACTAAATTAGATTCCTATACAAAAACAGTGTTCCACCTCGATTAGCTGCCTGCCGCTCTCATCCGCCGGCCCATTGAAGCCGTCGGCCGCGCTGAGCATCCTGCTTCAGTTGCACCGCCGGCTCTCGATCGTGCCGCTCTGTGATGCGGACTCAATACGAGGGAGCTGCTTACAGTGCCGCCGGGTGAGGCCTTCTACCAAAGGCAACCTTGACAGGAGGGGGCTGCCAATGGTGCCGCCCGTCGGCGCCTTTTGGCAAGGACGTCTAATCATTCACTCTATAGTTCCTGCGGGCATCGGGGCTGGCTCAGCGGAGGGCCTGCCTGGCCGGCGGGTTCAGCCCTGGGCAGTGCCGCCCTTTGGGGCCTTCAACCATGGACTTGAATCTGCGTTTCAAGACCTACATTGACCTCATGGTCAAGAATAAAAAAAATACTAAATTAGGCTTTGGGTTTGGCTTGGGGGGGGGGGCTACTGGGCCGCCGAGTTCAGCACATGGAGTTCAATGCAACGCTGCTGGTATGGGTCTCCTGCCAGTAAGTGACTATGGAGGTTCAGGCTGTGGTCTTCTTGCGTGACGTCCGTCCTGCCAGGTCGCCACCACCTTCAAAATGCCATGCATTTACGATACGCTTTGACTGCCAAAGAAATGACTGCACAGGAATAAGTTCGCGCCTTGTCAGCGTTCACCCTAATCCGGGTCCCTGTGCGATCCGGATCGTCACTAGAGCTTTCTTGGTGGCGCTGCACAGCTGTCCACTATCGCGTCAAATTCATGGTGCGACCTACTCTACTATTCGTTGAAGTAGTTATCGCACGCGACTTTCCCCACCATCGTCACCGCCAACGTGGTTGCAGAGGCGACAGGTTTCTCTCAACTTGAGGTTCACTTGGATTCAACTCAATTCAATGTATACATTGCACATCACACAGATTTATTATACAAGTACATGAGCACGTAGTGGAAGATTAGGCCAAAATACACTCTAGTTCAAGCCCCTCCACCACCAGTAGTGACATGAGCAAGTAATTGTAGAGTTCCACATTTACCTTTGCGTGCACACAAGTTTTTTTGTGTGTGGAATATTTGCTGGTTAATTCCAGGATGTTTCTGTTGCGCGTCGTCGCTTTGGGATGTTCTGTGTTCAAATTTTGTTTGTTGCGGTTGCACCCGACTTAAGAGCCGCATGGCTCACAGGGCTATACCTAATAAATGAAACTTGAAACTATACCAAGCCTCACATTCTCTTAATTCACATATGGTTTCTTTAAGTGAGGTCCCAATACTAATCGATTAAGTAAAACACACAGAAAGTTATAGAAGACAGACATTTTAAACTATTCTCTGGTGGTGTCAATTTCAGCAATTTAGCCTACATTCCACTAATAGTTGACCCACAAAAGAGCCTTGAGAGCCACTTAACACAGCCCCTTCCCCCCGCCCACTCACTCTGGAGCCCTTATAAGTAGCTACATTTGGAGGTCTTCCCTCTTTTCTTTTCTTTCCACCTGAAGAAGGCCGCTTGTGCTGCGATCGAAACGTCGTGGGTTTTTTGCTTTGAATTTAGATTTTTGTTTTCTATCTACGTGACTTTACCGAAAGAACCAAGAATATGAATTCCTGCAGTCACGAAAGTTTTAAGTCTAAGACTAAATCATTTGTTATAAATGAAATAATCACCGATAACAAACTCCATTGCATGTTTTTAACAGAAACCTGGCTAAATAGTAACAGACCCGCTGTGTTGATTGAAGCTTCACCTCCTTCCTACAGTTTTGCAAATTCATTCAGGAAAGGAAAAAAAGGGTGGGGGTACGGCTGCGATTATTAGTAACACTAAGTTACAGGGAAATTTGTTTTCGCGATTTCAGCTCGTTTGAGCACCATACTTTTATTAAATTGTGAAACCCCTGTACTTGCTATTACCATATATAGGCCTCCGAAACAATGCCCTGCATTCTTTGACGAATTTTCAGAATTGCTTTCTATTATCACTACAAACTATGATAATATAATCGGTGACTTCAATCTGCACGTGGACAATATTACCGACTCAAAAGCACAAGATTTTATGAAGCTTTTAAGTTCAATGGATTTTACACGACATGTCGGTTGTCCGACTCACAAACTTGGGCATATTTTGGACCTTGTCATCACTCGAGGTCCTACAATTAATGTAACCTCTGTTGCCCATGTAGCTCTTTCAGATCATTATTGCGGCTTTTTCTCAGCAATGGTGTCCATAAAACTGTGTCATTTGGAGCGTGTGTTTAAGAAGCATTATCTTACATCTGAAGTCGCTGAAAATGTCATGCATCAACATTATACCAATACTGACACTACCCCCATTCGCTGTTTATCTACTTGATAATCTCTATACTAAATTAACAGCTACTATTGATATGCTAGTACCGGCTAAATGAAGAAATATTAATCTAAAAAAACCAACGTGGAGAAATGAGGACATTCTTATACTTAAGAGGATCTGTAGAAAGGCGGAACGGAAATGGAAAAAAAAAACAAATAACTCGTCGACAACCATATTCGGAGGGGTCACATCACCATATTTAATAATGCAATTAG